TTAACCCCCAAATACTCCCCCAAATACTCAATGACAAAGTTGTAGCTGTTCTAACTTGAGGTGTTGGCCTTACACGGAGTACGTATAATGTCCTCAATTGAGACTTTCAGGTCCAACCCAACTTGGCAAGCTTAGTCAAGATGCAATAACTTGCCCGTAGTACAGGTATCCATTGGACTGGTTCAAAAGTTACATGTACATATCAAATATCAAAAAGAGAGCAGTGTATAAATTCATACAATCCCCTGAGCAGCTAATGACAGTATGTAAATGTGGAGCCTGTTATGTCTTTTTGTTACATTGATACAGCAAAGTGACTGAATAGTAACAAAAAAGACCCAAAGAGATAAAATCCTCTTGAATGAAACTTCGAACAAGTGTAATGCTGACATACGATCCCGTAATCATATCCTATCACCATCCTGTTGGAAGGCTTTACTGGGTCCCTGCTTTTTAAGCGTACGTGCATTCCGGTTGGGGTACAACTAGCCATGTGACCTGCCAATGGAACCATGTCACATGACACAGTCCCTGGGAATCAAGCTGATGTGTCATCCACCAAAGAGTGTGGAATGATCCAACATCCCTGGGAATGAGCTCACGTGCCGTTCGTGTGCTGAATGGATTCCTTAATTGAGTCAAGTAATTGTTGACTGATGCAATATCCAGGGAGTGAGGGAATGCGCCCTCCATTAGGAGACCAGGGCCCCTGGATGTCACACAACAGGTAGATGATAACCGTCGACATTATTTAACGACGACCTAAAAATATTTGTCGGTTTCATTGGTGGATACTGAGTGCATTTGTAGGCAAAGAGATCACGTGCAAAGAAATAATATGCAAATGTCGATACCGAAGCCGTCATATATAAGATTTTGCATTCGAGGGTTTCATCAGATTGACGACGTCGCGTTCGACCTTTGCATGCCTTCACTTATGAAGTCTGCTCGCAAACATTGAGTTGTACTATAACATTGATTTGTACTGGGAGTTTTTGCATACTTTAGAGTGTAGCCCTCTGCCCCTCCCTCCATTTTGCTCAAGAAGGTAAGAGAACTGTAAGTCGCTTTAAATATGTACACTTGTACATGTATGTCTATCAATACCCTGATTGCAGACTGAGGAAGACATTCCAAATACAAGATCTAAATCGTGTAACTGACAAACCACGATACTAAATTTCTGATTGAAGAGAAATGACAATATCGTGGTTCATTAGTTACATGTACACAGTTCTGAACTTGTATTTGAAATGTTTTCTTCACAGCTTGGCATCAGGGTGACCGTAGGCATTCACGTACTCGCATAATTGCTGAGAGACTTTGATGGTACCCTATAGTTTCCCCCTCAAAAGCAAAGTGGGAATCTGTACGGGCAGAAAGGAATACAACCCTTTATGGCAGAGTAAGAGAGCAATGGTTTTGTATCACGGAATATGACGTGAAATTAACCATGTCATGTTCTACACACCACAGCTGTATTCTCTGTAGTCAATTGATTTAGTTCCGATGAATGACATCCATCCATATGATTTATACTGCAGTGGTATATGGTTTTACTGTCCATATGCAATACAAATGAACAAAGGCCATAAGAAAACAGCCAACAGCTCAAGGTAATTGATCTGAAATTTGGTTTCATTCACAACTGGTCCATCTTCCATTAGGTTTAAGATTAATTGCGAGGCAATTACATAGGTTCTCCATCCACTAATGGATGCATCCATTTCTATAAATTTGCAAGTTGCTCAGATCACTTTGCGGCAAAATAAAATGAGACGCAGAGGGCAAATTGGAAACCCACCACTGCAATTCAGTTGTTGCTTCTTTTATCAATGACCTTTTTGTGTGAAAATTCCTCCGTTTTCCTAAACTACTGCATCTTATACTGATTTCAAGGTTCCTGTAAGACAAGGGGCCCAATTGTTCTCCTGGAAAGCAAGAAACCAGTTTCCAAATTACTTGAGCGACAAACTGTGCAGTCAGCCATGTTTGAGTATTAAACTAAGGAACAGCATAACTTCACAATTTGTTCAGTTTTATCAGTAGGAAGTCGGACTTCCATTTCATTTGAATTTATGACGAACCCTAAAAAACTGCAGTTCATGTGTAGGGTTCAAGCAAGATTTTTTACAATATTATAGGGCATTAATTTGAGGGTTAAAAATACAGCAGTCAGAGCAGTGGAATTAAATGGATGCTTAGGTGTATGCCATTGAAATTTAACAAAGTGCATTTTGTACATGTAGATAAAATGCATGAACCTAATACGGTATCTTAAGGTCCAAAACTCAAGTGTGAAGTAAATATGTACACAGATGCTGAGGTGTGTGCGATTGAAATATAACAATGTACACCTGTAGATGGCATCAGTGCATGGAGCTTCCTGTCTCTGAGCTCCAAACTAAAACTCAAGAGTCAAGTAAATACTGTATGTACACAGATAAATAGATAAACAGACTGTACCGGTACGTGTGACGTACATGTATGCAGCAAAACAAAAATCTCAAAGTTCTGTATATAAACCATGTCACGCGACTTGATGACGATGCTGTGTTTGTCCAGCGCCATCTTTACCAGATCCGCCCCATCAAAAGCCTCAACTGTTTGTGCCCTTTACATGAAAGTAGAAAACTTTGTCTTCAGGTGATTTGATTGGGAATTTAAAAGAGGTAAGGAAATAATGTCAGTTATTTTGAATGAGGTTAAAGGCTAGCGTACAAACATAGGAATCACAGTTTATTTCAGACTGCAAAATGTGAAGTGTACATGTATACATTAACTCTTTAGCTACGGGAGCCGCTGACAGCGGCACACAAAAATTGTACATGTCTTACGGCAAGCCGCTGGAAGCAGCTCGGTGACGTCGCTGTGAATAAACAGGGTATCCCCATGACGTGTGCCTTATTTACATAATATATATCGTATAACCTCTGACCCTAGTTTGAGCCGCTGCCAGCGGCTCTCCGTCTCGCCGGGTCTGCTGCACATTATTGTGAGCAGTTTGTTTACAGAGAGACATTGTAAGATGGTGGCGTCCACATCAACACACAGCAGAATTTCCAGCGGTTTATTACGTCCAAACGGGGAAAAATCGGTAAATTAAATTCCGTAGCGAAAGAGTTCAGTAATGTTTAAAAAAAAAAACTACATGCGGTAATAAGAGTGGGCAGACTACAGTGATCTATAATACATTTTGTCCATTTCAATATTTCAGAAGATAATTAAAGATGTACTGAATAACTCTTCAAAATTTGAACAAGAATTTCAAAAAAGAAACCAGAGGTCTTTCTATGTCTGTTTACAAATGGAACATATACATGTAGGTTTCTCCGCATTACAATTTTTTCATGAGATTTTTTTGGGGGGGGGGGGACCGAACAAACCTATTACCAAAAGAATTTTGAATTTAGCATTTTGTGTTGGGGAGATATGGTGATAATCTTCAAAATTTGAAGAAATCATATATAAAATCATGTGATGACGGCACTACATGTATAACGTCATCTTGATTTTCATCTATAACACATTCCTATCTATAGACAAACACAGCTGTACATTCATGATGAAAAACGCACATCGACGATGACATCACATGGCCCATGATGACCTCATGCTAACGGTACTTGTCAATGCAAATGTGATCTTATTCTGTGTCAATTCGGAGTCGATCTGAGCAAAGACAGTCCAATTTTGTGAGTAGAATCTCCCAAATCTGCAGGGATTTTCCAATTTTTGACAAAATCTTGAACAACTGGTCCAAAGCACCAAACTTGGCAGATTGATTCTTATAGCCCTAGAGAAGATACTTAGAAAAAGTGACACCTAATGGGAAGGGTGCATAATTTGCATAAATCGTAAATAGCCGCCATATATTTTCCCCCAAATTTTGGTATATTTTTATTTTTAAATTTTCTTTAAAGTATATTTTTTACGCGGATATGGAGTGGGATTGAGTTTGGAGGGGCGCAAGAGGGCGCTATTTTCCCTTTAAAAAAAATCCTCCCTTTAAAAAAAAATATCCTCCAGTACTTACTGCGTAAAGTGAATGGGAAAGTTGAAAAACAGTCCAAAGCACATACATGTACATATACATGTAGGTCACCTGGAGTGGCTACGCGGAAACGGGGATACGCAGTGCACGCGTATTGTGGATGAGCAGTCAAGCGTGACTTTGTATCCTCGTACCCGGCTACAAGGTGGGATAGATGAGTAGTGGGGTATTCTGCAGTTGTGCCAATGGTCACAAAATAACTACATGTAGATAGGCCCTACACAACCTGAGATACAAGTACATATCGATGGATAAGATCGAGGTACGTGGTTAACTTACGATGCGGATGAAAAGTGAAATTTCCCGTTCAATTCCAGGAGCTCCCCTTGTGTTCATGGACACGTTTAACTTCTGACTTGTTTGAACATTTACTGCGCAGTCATGTGCAGTCACGGTTATGTCCCCCCCCCCCCATCCCCCCCCCCCCACTTTTTAAAGTGGGGGTATCAAATCATTTGCCCCACCCCATCACTTTTTTCGTCCCTGAATAAAACTTGTAGGCCTGCATTTGATTCTATAGCTCAGAATAGCTGATTTAATTACTTCAAACTCGAAAATGAAAATCTTTTGCTAAAGAGAATTTGTTAACATCAAGTAATTGCCTCAGATTTTCCGGTTTGTCCTCCCCCCCCCCCCCACCCACTTTTGAGAAGCGATTGATGCCCTTGCCAGTGCATAAAGTCTTTCGAATCAGAACAATATTTATTGAGTAACAATTGGCCAATTGAAAACATTTAAGTGCTGCTTTTTCCTGTTGTCTTATATACATGTAGCTTGTAATATTTAACTGAGCACTGCAATAAGAACACGGACCAACCAATCGACTGAATGACAGATCGACCGATCGACCAACTGACATAGTGACCAACCGATTGACCGACCGACTGACCGACCGACCAACAGCATCCATTATCTGATTTTACCTGATTGTACTTCGCACTCACAGGATTATGCCGGGTTGAACTACCGAATTAAGCTGTCTGTAACTAAACTGTGCCCACGTACATCACCAGCGCTAAATGGCAGAACCACCTGCTAAGAGAGCCCGAAGACGAAATGAGACACAAACTAACCCTGGTCCAAGCACAGCACCAGCCAGTCAGGCAGCTGCAACCCAACAACTACCTGCTGATGGAGCGAGATATGATCCACAAACGACTCAGTCCGGCAGCAGACAGCCTTCCCAGCAGGAACCAACACAACAACCACTGCCACAACTACAGCCAAGACCGGGTGAGACACAAACTAACCCTGGTCCAAGCACAGCACCAGCCAGTCAGGCAGCTGCAACCCACCAACTACCGGCTGATGGAGTGAGGGATGATCAACAAACGACTCAGTCTGGCAGCAGTCAGCCTTCCCAGCAGGAACCAACACAACAACCACTGCCACAACTACAGCCAAGACCGGGTGAGACACATACATTTTTCTGTAAACCCTGCATGTTATGACTCCCCTGGCCCTGATATCGGTTCCCTGACAGCATCCTTCCCCTCCATCCTTTGCATTGACGCTATTAGGCACAATATATAGTGTAGCAGAGTCCCTGAAACAAGGGGAACTGCACTGGTGACCTGCCCCCCTCACCCCATGGTGAATTACTCGGAGCATAGTAACTAATTAAAACACCGATAAGGTCACACTATTCCAATCCTTCTAACAGTTAACGCTTTAATCCTTGCCACCTAAAAGAAATAAAGATCCACCCCGTTGAAGTTTAGACCGATGTTCAACTTCCGATGTGGCTCTGCAAATTTCAAATTGGCACTGAAACCGAGGGCCTCAGTACTGAGAGAAATAAAAAAGAAAAGGTCCTCCGACCTGGAAAATGCAAACGAGGATCACTCAGAGAGGATACGGCTTTTTGTTACAAATGTTCAAATGAACCACGAAGGGAAACTGACTAGGTGCATTATAACCAGGTTATTATTATTAACTTTAGGTTTATCTCTTGTTCCCGAAATCGTGCACTAGTGTTTTCAAAACATTTAGTTATGATAAATTTTAATCAGATTATATATTTCATTGAACTCTGTGTTGTGTATCAATTATTTCTCTTTAGAAAAATAAATGGCAAAAAGGAACACATAAATCGAAAATGTAAACACATTTTATTTATCCATTCTGGACAATGGCAGCACCTTAAGCTGAGAGGTTTCCAGTAAAATACGACCCACTTGTGCGGCACACTCACGGTCAAAACTATTAATAGACAGCAGCTATCAAACATTTCCTGACCTTGTTAAATTACCATTTTTTTTATGCTGGTGAAAGCAGGTATATAAAAAAAATCACTCTAGAAAGATGTAAACTGAAGTAAATGAATTATTATGTCCTGTGTCCTTTTTCAATTTGTCAGTACCTCTTTTCACAGTGCAGTGGTATTTACACTGTAAAGGCAAATGCATAAAAAAGTTCATATTATTTTGTTTCAGAAAGAAAATTGGATGTTGAGCCTCCCCACGCTTCAGGTGAGTGACACAGCCTTTTTTCAGACAGTGGATTTGTCAAAGTTTCCAGATTGTAACGGTCCTGTCTCGCTTGGAGGCATTCATTCCAGCTTGCAGTAATAAAAAGAATTTAAAGCTGGCAGTGGTTGGGTTGGAGACCAACCTGTTTTCATTTTTTCCCCCCATTTTAGAAGGGACATATTCACCAGCAGTTATGAAGACATTCCTGCTACCCATCCCCTGATGAGTCAGCATATTTCTAATTTTGATCTGAGACAGAGCAATCAATCACAATCAGAATGAGTTTTTAATTTTATTATTTTGTTTGGTGCTCTCTGCCCAGCAACGTTGACGAAAAAGTTATATCTCTTTTTTTTATCTTTGAATTTTGTTTAAGCAGATTGGTAAAGAAATTCACTAAAATGAGATTTGAACAGAGAACCTCTGAATCACCGTTCCAGTGCTCTATTAAGTGACCTATTGAGCCATATTTTGCATTCTTCTGATTGGTGCCTCTCCACAGAACATAATTCACTATACTTACTTACGTATTAGTACTTATCCATTATTGAATACATTAGGAAAGAAAGGCATAAAACCCTGTGCAACCTCAGTCCTGCAAAATCCTCCAACTGCCTTCATGTAAAAATTGCACACAGCCTCATTCCTGCAAAATGCTCTGTTGTTTATGTGGTCCTTGAAGGGGTGACCACTGCCTCAATCCTGCAAAATCCTCCGGCAATCACTGTCAATTTGTTGATTTGTATTTTGCACTAAATTTAGTCGGGCACCATTTGCACACAGTGTTGTAATTTTGTTATTGTGCGTCTGGAAGCCAGAGTGAGGGAGCGATGTTCGTGTATCTCAGGGAATCTGTAAATGCATTTTAATTAGCGCAATATGTAAGGGAGCAGACTAATGACCAGCCTGGCAGCTCATGCAAGATGTCGATGTCGCTGTATGGTCTGACATTACCGTTTTCCCTGATTTTTGTCTTGACTATCAAAATTTCCTGAAGAATGTTCGTGTCGGTCGAGATCGTAAGTGGGTCAGACTTCTCAAGCCTTATGGCCTTACTGAGGTCACCTCAAGCTCCACTCTGAAGGATATTTTTGAGTGTTTTTAGGGGATCGAAGTGTCATCTGCAACATAGCAGCTGACATTTGAAGAAAAAAAAAGTGGGGCCCAAACAAAAAAAAAACCTGCGTCGCCGGACAACTTTTGGGGCAAGCTCCATACCAGAAACCGGAGACTTTTTTTTTGGCCTTAGGGTTAACGGGGGATGACTGTATGTAACCTGTGATCAACTTTATTTTCAGATAATGTCATGAGGGCCCTGGAGCGCGCAGGGAAACGCAAGAAGCGTAAAGCAGAGGCGACGGTGCTGAAAGATCAGGGGAACCAAGCATTTCATAAGGGCAATTACACAATAGCTGTTCAGCTCTACACGCAGGGCCTGGAATGTCTGAAAGACTTTGTGGTGTTGTACACCAACAGAGCACAGGTAAACAAGGCAAGTCTGTTACGAGCCAAGATCTCCGTATTCATGAAATGACTGAGAATATTTCTATTCCCCCTGGATCAGTCCATTGTAGGTTGCTCCCCAACTAATACTCTTACGCATTTACATGTGTACTCCTGGGTGGAGAGAGGCAAGTGGAGGTGAAGTGGCTTGCCCAAGGACACACCATATGACCAGCAGCTGGATTTGGATTCCTGACCCTCTGATCATGAGTCACTATAACCCTAACCACTATGCCACACTTCCCCAAAAGTAAACAAATGAACAATTGTTGACTGCTGTGATGTGGGATATGACACCTGATGGGGGCATAGCACCTGCAGGTAAAGCAGAGGGTGCTAAACATGACATATCCCACATCACAGCAGTCAACAATTGTTTGGAAAGGTTTTAACTCGCTCGTGCCAGACATGATATTGAAAAGCTGCAGTACTCTGTTGCGAGGCACATGTACCCTTCACCCACACGTTATATAGGCATTGTGGTGTATATGAGATAATTTGCAACGTGTTGTATTTATATGCAGGGTTCATGAAGTAAACAACCATTATTGTAGACTGCACATGCTGCCATTCTCAAGGGGGGGGGGGCATTATCATTTTTTTTGGGGGGGGGGGGGTGGGGGGGTCAAGAGGGCTCGATTTTCTGAAAAGGGGAAAGGGATTAAGTATATAGTACTGTGCACTATTTGCACATTGCTGATGGCTTGTGAGAGAGATATGCAACGTTTTCAGTTATTTCCTGAAAAGTTTTCTTATAAAGAAGGGGAAAAAAGAAAGTAAAACATATCATTTTGGGAGGTTGGCCAACTCATCTTACATGTATGTTTTGGTAGTATTGCACATAAGGCAGACAATTAATTCCAGGCGACACACCTGTTATCCTGTTGAGACACACAACGCCTCGTTGTTCACTATGTGGCAAATTTGAATCCCCTCTTTTCACTTATTCCCCCCCCCCCCAGGCTTACAACGAATTGGAAAAGTTTTCAGAGGCAATGGAGGACTGCCGGACTGCCTTGCAGTTGGAACCAAACAACGTCAAGGCATTAGCGCACCTTGGCAAGGCCCAGCAGGGACTGAAGGATTACGAGGCGGCTGTTACGACTTACCAAGAAATCCTCAAGATTGACGAGAAATACGAGAAAATGGTGGCAGGTGGGTCAGCAGTCTTCAGGCCAAATGCACAAACATGTGATGCGATCATGCTAAATGAGTCATTTGTCGGCCCTTATCAAATGTTGTGGTTTTTGAATAGAGCTATATTTCAGTTTATATTTGGTGAAAACCCCATGTGAATACGACCTTCCGTTCAGAAGTTATGGGACTTGGAACACAGGCAGATTTGAAACAAGAAAACAGAGACTCAACAGAGAAATCAACGATTCAAAATTGAAGTGTTTATTACACAACAATAAACGTGCTTTATTTCAGGTTATTGACATAAACTCGTTACTCCTTAGCAAAAATGTCACGTTTTGAATACTTTATCGTTATATTTTCTGGGGAAAAAAAGTTGACATGAAAGAGGACATATGTAGCCTTCCGATTTTACAAAAAAGTCACTGAACTATTTTGGGCTGTATCTTAAAATCATAATTGCCGACAAACGACTCATTTAGTTTGATCGCATCACACATGTGAATGTGAACGCGAATCTGAAGCTAATTTGAAGTCATTCAGGACACGTATTCAAATGAGTTAAAATGTTTGCAGATCCACAGTGCATTTAATTTAAGTTGGAAAAAATCACTCGGGTGGGACTCGAACCCACGACCTCCTGCTTTCTAGTGCAGATGTCTTACCACTCGACCACCGAGCTAACGGCATAGTTTATGCGGTACCCGCTGCTATGTTAATCAGATTCGAACCAGCCAACCGATCCCGTTAGCTCGGTGGTCGAGTGGTAAGACATCTGCACTAGAAAGCAGGAGGTTGTGGGTTCCAGTCCCACCCGAGTGATTTTTTCCAACTTTCACTCCGGAGGTAACACACTGAGTATACAGTGTTTAAATGTCAGTGAAGGGCAAAACCTAATTTGATTTATATCACCCCGTCGCAAAAATTCCATCTTATATAATAGATATTGTAATTCTTGCTTCTGATTGTAGATTACCCACGAATAAGTGGAGCCAGCATAGGAAACACCGGCACGATCAGCGGTAGCCAGAGCCCTGTCATTGTTGGTCCAAGTGCAGTTATTATCACTTACAACAAGCTGTCGGAGGAACGCGGTAAATATAATCTTGCTTGATGCAATGAAGTAGTTTGATATCTTAAATCAAGTGTTAATGTATTGGGGGGGGGGGGTGGGGCAGGGGGAGGGTGGTTTACGGTTTTAGAATATGTGTTGAACATAGTTCCATGACTTAGCTGTTGTAGTTCTCCAGATATATAGGACTTTAAAAATTTCAGATGACAATCGGGGCCCACCAAGTTTCAGTGATTTTGCCCTATCACGGCATATAGGCCTTGCTTCTGACCTGCAGGAGTCAAACATGGAGATTGTGTCCGGGAACTGTCTCCGAAAACGCGCAGACTTTGCAAGTGCAATGTATACAAATGTATACAATGTAAGTGACTTCCGACTGACGAGTTTGGTCGAGAAAATGCTTTGTAATTCAGCACGTGTGGGTCAAAATGAAATGTGCATATAAAGATCAAAGGAAATCCCCAGATGCCCACATTAACATGAATAACTTTCTGTTCAATGTTCACAATTCCTTTGTTATAAACCAGCAAAGTTTGAAAGGAGATGGGGGGAAAAAATGGCTTCAAAAATAATTTCCATTACTATATTCAAAGACAAATGCGTGTTAACTCATTTCATACGCAACTTACTTAGCCTACGTTTTACTGTAGAATCAAGTCTTCGATAAACAAATCTAAGTCTGGTCATGTTTGGTATTATTCAGCTTGCTTTGCCCTCTTTTTAGGGGTTGGGTGGGGGGTGTGGTGTTGAGAAAGGTAGGTCGCTATGCATCCTTAAATATGCCCAGGAATTTACAGACAATGAGGACTAATAAGTGGGTCCACACCCTGAAAAAGAAACTGCTCGTGATAATACACGAGACTTGAAAGTGACCTTGCAACACTGCACAGTACATCATTATCAAACATTTTGCTTTCTGCTGTGTGATGTACCGCCAGCAGCAGTTCGTCCTTTCATCACCCCGTTTGTGGCGTGATCAAAATTTCTGCGTGGACGTCATCATAGAGTAAATAGAGACTGGCTGTTGCGCGCAAGGTCAACCTTGTGCAGCTGGGTTGATCAATATAGTGAAATCTTGGCAAGTCAAACTTCAAAGGAACAGTTTCAAAATTTGACTTGGCAGAGTTTTGAGTTAAGCAGGGTTGTATATCATTGTTATACTAATGAAGGCAATGGATTCTTTGTTTGACTTAACAGTTGTTTTGAGTTATCAGAGTTTGACTGATTATTGAGATTTCACTGTTTTGTGATCTCAGGGATGCCAAATTAAAGGGCACATGTAATGTAATTTGTTTCAATGTAGTCCTTGAAAATGCACCTTTGTGTCCCATTTAACTATAAAATTCTTTTTGGCTATTTTCAGGGGTATTTTGGTGCCTTTTGTGTGTTTATGCTAATCCAAATTTCCATATTTTTTAGCAAAACTGGGATGTTGTTCTGGTCAGAAACCTCAATATTATAGTTATTTCAGCATGACAAATTGCTAGAATTTTTTGATATTTTACAGTTGTAAATTTTCTTTGGCTTTGTTGTGTCAGTAAATGGCAGTATAAGCCAATGAGCAAACCTTTCTCAATTTTTTGTATTGACCAATTGACCAAATAATGGGGGCCTGATTCGAACAGAAAACCCTTTTCAGTAGAAAAATGTCCAAAAATGGACGTGCAAATTGTTTGTTTTTGATGAATTGCAGCTTGAGAGAATTTTTATGAATCGAATGTTTATGTATACTTAATAAACAGTTTACTCTTACTTATTCTATGATTTCTTTTAGAAATCACCGGATTCCAGGGGCCGGGTACAGCAGATAACCTGCAGAAGGAACTAGATTTCGAAAACAAATTCCGTGATTGGTTGAAGCAGATTGGAGAAGGCAATGTTCTTGCGATGGAATACCTGCTGAGATTTTATTGCAGTAGATCCATGCAGGCTGCTGGTCTCACTCTGGATCACATACGAGAGATGCAAGGTGACGAGGAGGAACTGCAGAGATTTGCTCGGTTACTGTTGTGGGAGTCCAGTTCAGAAGAGTTGGCTACCAAACTAGTCAGACCAACTAGGGTAAACTGCAAGAATAACGAAGACCTGAAATCACTGAGCTACTACTTACAGCATGTCACTCCGCCACTTGAAGGTACACATTTTTACTTGGATGTAAGAAAGCAGGAGCTTACCCTTCTCAGGGGAATTCTTCTGAGTGACAGCATGGAGTCAGCTGGGCTGATATATGTTGACTACCACTTGTCTGAGCAGGAGGAGGAGGGGCTTAGCCTCCTTGAGGAAACACTTGGTGTGGTGGATGAACAGGACCGTGCTCAATTAGGCATTGTGGTTAAGACAAAGTCATGGTTTGATGTGGGGCGTGTATCACACAGCTTTTTCCGCATGCAGAAACAAATAGGCAAACTTAGTGTGGATATAGACCAACGATCACCGGATGAGGTTGTCAATCTATTGAAGGCACTGGAAGGGTGCAGGTTGGATTGGCTCACAATGTATGGCACCAACCTGCATGCACGGGTGGGAGATGTTAGCCACATCTCGTCATCCCTTACAGTCTTGCAGCTCGATGCATGCAGGTTGGTAGATGATGACGTGAAGGACCTGATCAGCATCCTTCCTGCTGGGCATGGTTTAGAATCGCTTAGCCTTAGTGACAATGCATTCAGTTTGGATGTAGTGAGGGCTCTCACTCATCATCTCCGAGGTCTCCCTAAGTTACATTTGTTGTGGCTTTGTAACATCAGCCTCCCTCCTGAGCTCGTCAGGCAAGTTGTCAGTCAAGACCTCCCTCACCTGAAGGAAATAGAAGAAGGAGAATTCGAAGCCTAAATATTCTCCCACCAAGTCATAACTCTCACCTTGGTCCCTATGAATGCACCACGCTCACGAGCTGCATTAAATTGAAACAAGTAGCACGTATCATGGGTCATTTTATGTGAAGTCAATGCTCTGCAACCTTCTCCCCCCCCCCCCCAAAGAATCACTTAAAAAACAACAACAACAACAACAATCAATAACAACAACAACTTTATTTTCAGAGGACAATAAGGGGCTCGATAATGAATGAAAAAGTCAACAAAACAGTTTCAATACAAATAGATGTTTTCGGAATCCTCTTACATTATGAATACAAATATACCAAGCATAGTTCTTCATTCTACTGAACCTCCATCCCCCAAAAATTCAATCCATCAGTTAATCAATCAATCAGTGTGAAAAGTCAATCAACAATTCCTGTACAAAATGATTCATTGAAATCTTCAAACATAATAGCACTGTACTAAGCATTCTGGGTGTCACTTGAAAGTGATATTAAATTGACCTTGTATCTTGGGTGACCTCTGAGTACTATTATAAATCTACAATCTAATCGTCAATTAAACAGGAGAATCCACCTCTCCTTTCCATTTCTTTTGAGAAAATTATCTTGTATCGCATCATCTTAGGTAAAAGATGTGTGAGATGTCTTCAACTTTTGTGACAAAGGCCTCCTACCCTGTTTATCCGATCAATGTAGTAATATGGCATTCAAACAACTAATTTGACCACACGCAAATGGCTGCATGACACCCTTCCATAGACCAGTGCTGTGCAAAATTTAGTATAGAGAATAATACTCCAAACCTCGGGTACTTTTGAATTGTTTTGCGTTTGCCTTATGTACAAATTCGGAAAATTCTCACAACTTCATTCCTTTCAAACAGACTTTTCTTTTGAGTGTTTGTGCTTCATTCTTTATCAAATAGTTTGTGTAAATTAATGTAAATTACGCGTACAATGGCAAAAATTATGATTCCAGTTTGCTTACTTCTGTATAGATCTTTAACCTTTACTTTTTATGTAATATACCTTTAAAGTGGTCCAGTTGTGTAAGGACAGTATAACATGGATTTTGTTTACTATTCAACTACATGTGTAGGCCTATGTCCATATTGAGAATTACTAAACCAGTGTTCATACTGTCAAACAATTCATGTATAATATATACATGTAGAATGTTGCATTGCCAAATGATGCATTTTTGTCAGAGGACAGTCATGTTTGCTCATTCAGGACCAATCGTTGCAATTGTTGTATACGCGCACATGTTTCTGTGTTTCTGATTATGTTGGAATAGGTACAAGTCGAACAATTTGCTTGTTTTTATCATTGCAAGCCTCTTCAAAGTATTGGTCGACACTAGATTTGTTTATTCCAAGTATGATCAATATTCTGTACAAAAACTGACATTTTTGTTTCTAACAGTTTTGATTTTTTGCAGTTGCCTAGGTGATAGCAGTGGTTTATAACATGCCCAAATGCAACCGTTCATTTTGGTGATAGTAGTTCTGCAGGAGAGAAAAGGTATACTTTGAATCAACGTTTTGATATATCGAAATGTAAACTAATGTAAATAATGTCTAACTGTTGTTGCTGGCATGACATATGAAAGAATATTTTGATTAAAATGAGATTTACACATTGTAACTTCAAAGCCGAACTGATTGCAATTTTAAATTAATTTACACATTTAAAGGGATGGATGGGATCATTTGTAATTATCCCAATAGTAACCTACCGAATTGTAGTAAAAAAGCTCACTTGGATTAAAGATCGCACTGGTACTAAACACCCTGTGAAATTATTCCATCTGGCTTGCTGTCATTAAGCAGAAATCAAGAAATGTAGGTGATTTCCAATGATCAGTCAATTGACTGGTGTTCGGATATAAAGGAGTTCTATGGACAAAATCGCTTTTATTGATGAAAAGTTTGTGCATGGATATTTCACTCTTTTCTTGAAAAGTGTAATATCCAAAGCCTCAACATTTTGAGTATTCTTCTGTGGAACAGTGATGATATCACAATGTATTGGAAACAAACAAAACACATGAAATACAAATGTTCCTATATGCCTTTAAGCCATGGTTTACAAACTACATGTGATTTTTATCTTGTGATCATTAATGTGCAACTCTGTAAGATAAGGTCATCACTCGGGTACGAACTCCAAGTCAAGATAATCTGCTGACTTCTGGAAAGTTTGGTTTCTGTTTCACGTTTACTAAAATGGAGCGAAATAAAACCTTCATCCTTTATGTAGAACATTGTCATAGTTCCTGACGCTTCTCCAACCAGTGACTGTGCTCCCGTTACACAAACACTGGTTATTGAAATGTCCTCAGTTACTGTGCCTCTGTTTTTCCCAAACGTTATTTCGTTATTATCAAATAGACATTGAAAGTTGACCTGGATCTTTTCGTGCAACTTAAGTTACATGTTGTAATAAAAATAAACCGCAAAGGAGAACTGTCTCGGTGCATCATAATACATGTATAACTTGAAAGTTGAACAAAGACATTGACTGGAGCTGGTTTGACCTGGTGACCTCTGGATTCCTGTTCCGATACGGTAATCTGGAATGGTAATACTGCTACAGTCAATTTCCTTGTTTAATTTTCAAATAAAAATTAAAAATCTGATATTTGCACCGTTTGGCGGAAGTAAGTTGATTTGGCTTTGATATGGTTAACTGTGAAAGAAATTTTTGTTGAAATTTGTGTGTTATTTGTATTATTTGTTATTGGTGCAGAAACATTTCTGATCTCTTCTTTTCCTTTGTTCCAGAAATTTGGGGGAAAGTTTAAGACGTCAGGGATTATATTTGACATTGTGTACTTTGTATGATTATTATCGTGTAATAAATCATTCCATGCAATGACTTAAGTCAATCAAGGAGAAATCTTTGAGGTTAGATGATTGTTGTGTTATTGCTCCATTCCTCCCTCAGTGATGGACCAATCTCCCGCCTCTGAATTCTACAGCTGGGTCACCACTTGGGTTTTGTAATCAGGCATGCAGGCTTCATAATGAGGATAGCAAAAGAAATTCCTAAAAAATATATCAACCCAATCACAAATTTACTTCATGCAATTAAAAATATGATTACACAGCTAAATCGCTGATGGATCCAGAAGCATTTATTGTTGGGGGATTAAGAAAGTGGTAACCGACAGGCCAGTTGTTGCCAATTCCTTATGTGGAGGGGCGGGGCTAGATTGCATTTTATGGGAGGGGTGCAGTGTTTCCTTTCTTTTCTTTCTTTGTATTATAAAGTGGCAACGGGGATGAATAGACTACAATTTCGCATTAAAACAGTCGTCTTCACTTGTTCCCCGGTGGATTTATCTTAAAAGGCATTTCTGGTGGCCCCAACTTCGGTCTGCAAGAAGACAGCTTCTTTGATTAATAAGACAACTTCAAATAAGTTGAATTAATCATTGTTTGATTACATTGTTTTGTTGTGGACCTGTTGTGTTTTGCTGTTGTGGGCTTAGCGACACCAAGGTGTCTCTTGCATTTGAAAACAAACAACAACTTTAAATATTTTTTCTGGCACCCAATGAACACAAAACAAATTGAACTGATAAACTATTTATATATTTGATTGTTTTGCTACTCTTCACTGTGATTTGTTCTATAGACTGTGATTGCAGATACGCGCGTTGCCTGTTGACAAATACAATATTTACGGAGAGAACAACAATTTTGTTGCCTAAATATTCTGTGTGCTTTTCGCATTTGTCATGAACAATTTGCTTGCTGAAATTGAATTCAATGCATCAGATAATTCAAGTTGGCGTGTCCATTAGGTTTGTGTCGATGTCGTTTCTGTACAATATCGGCAAAGTGTGCTATAGACCGTGATTGCAGATACGCGCGTTTACCCGGTGTTGACAAAAATAATATTTACGGAGAGAACAACAATTTGTTGTCTAAATGTTCTGTGTGTTTGTTCTATTTGTCATGATCAATCTGTTGGCTGAAATTGAATTCAATGCATCAGATAATTCAGGAGTTAGCGTTACGGTCCATTATGGTCGTTTCTGCACAATGGCAAGGACAAAATCCCGGTGGTTGTGAAGCGCGGACTCCTTTGAAATAAAATTTTAGTCGGCAAAATTATAAGTGTAAATGTCCTTTATATTAATTCGGATTGGTTTTTGGCGCTGACACCACTCTACTGCTCTAAGTGTATTAAATATAGTGTCTGATGTTTCCTGTTGAGATTTAATGCCCTTGTGACACAAGTCTATTAAAATTTGAGGGAAGCTGTCTATATGGTTAAAATAAATAGTGTGTTCATGAGAAACCGTCTAACAATACAAATAATAAGACCGAAACAATAGCGTTGAATATATATGCGAAAAATACAATCCAATTCAGTTTTCATTGAACATAAGCAACACAATCCTCTTGAATTTGAAAACTAAGAAATTACCCGTTTTACTTTATTGAAAGTCGTTTGTTTCACTTCTAAGTAAGGGCATAGGCCTTACCCCATATATTTGCACATTTTTTGTCAACTAAACATTTCTGTTGAAAAAAGGCGCGCCTGACAAAATAGTAGTCTCTCGCACAAAGACAAATTCATTATATGTGCCAAACGGTTTACTTTAATTTTCTTTCAACCCCCCCCCCCCCCCCCCCCCCCGAGAAGGACGCCATCGGAACGTAAGATTTTCACGTCCAACTAGAGAGGGCGCTTGTCAACTTGGTCGATTAGTAAACAAAAGTTGCGAAAAGTTGGAACTCCTGAAGTTCAGCAAGAAAGGGAACGTTTGGGGAAAGAACGTTGCAACCTGAAGCCACATTTTCTTCAGAAAATCATCTCAATAAAGGTCAGTCATTGCAAAAATGTTAACAAGACATGAATCTGGGACTGAGAATCATTTCCAATGTGGTTAGAAAATACTTTGAAAATCTTCTTGACTTTCCATAGACTTTGTACACAAACGCTGAATAGGCCTACTGCATTCTTGGCGATCGTGTAGTGTAGGTTCCGGTTCCTATAAGGGAACAAAATCCACTTTTAAATTATTGGACGTGTAGTCGGACTCCCTATTATCGCGGCATCCCTATTATCGCGGAATGGGAAATTTCTCTTTTTGCGTTGCCAAAGCTCCTTCAAGCATGTCAAGTGGCAATTTTTTTCCAGTTCACCAGTCATACTTTTTGCCAAGTTGTATAAAAAGGACGATTAAAAAATGTTGTGTCTTTCGGGACTTTTAACGATTTTTAATAAATTATAACGTTTTCCAAAACTAAAAGGTACCGTCTATATGTTAACATAAATCTTTAATGGTGCTCTGTCTATGAAAGTTCCATTGCCTGGTTCCGATTCTTCAGCTGCAAATGTAAAATGAAGTCGAAGGACGATATTTGCACCGCGAAATCGTAAAAACTTTTACGGGATCAAAATAAGCACAGCGCGTTAACAAAAATAAAACAGCACACCGTGTAAAGTGAATGGCGCCCCCAATCGCCAATCAGTAGACTTGCCTCAGTGAGTTGTGTTCTCCTTTCGGGGGAAGGGCAGGGTCTTAGAAATCATCCTGCAGATATAATAGTCTTTAATCAACTTGAACTTACAGGGAAAATATCAGACTTTATTCAGGGTGTGTTTTGGTCAAACATTAACTATGAATAAAAAAGTTGAGATCATTATAAAAACCACTTCCCGCATACCGCGATAATAGGGAGTCCACCTCCGTTCGTACACTCCGAGCATGTCTATTTTCACAGGCAATCGTACACGGAATAAACCACACCACCGTTGGAATTTTTTATATCAATTTGAAAAGGAAGAGTTATACTACACAAAAGACAGGACAATTCGGCAAGGTTAGTGGTAAGTACCGCGATAATATGGCAACCCATCCTACCAAACTAGTTTTGGCGACATTTTCAATAAACAGGTATACTGTCATAGATAGAGGGCAGGGTTTTGATTTTTTTTGAGGGAATTTCGGGGGTAAAATGACGATGACAGCGCTGCGCAACAACACGTGGCCCGAAAATAAAGATGGCGATCACCGCTCGATGAACCGTGAGCGGGCACGCACTGAATCGCAAGGCACAAACCGCGCAGGAAAATCGTGATTTCTAACCAAAGAATTGCAAAACGGGTGTCATTAGAATTGAGGAAAGTCTGCTTTTGATTGTAAAGGTGATTTTTGAACAATACAAAAAAAATTTGACTCTAATTTGATCAAAACAAAACAGGGGCCCTACACTTCGTGATCGCCGCATTCTTTCTGCTCGATATGCCGGAGTAACTTGGTGCCCAACTCATCGCCTTTTTTTTTTTTGTACTACTAGTCTCGGTAATCGTTATCTGTAGGACCCATGGTTAAAGAACTCACCAAAACAGCTGACTCAATGACACTCAAAAGTGACATACAAGTAGGGGCCTACACTAGGGTGGTCGGCCTTTTTGGTGTTTTTTTTCCAAACACAGTCGTTTTCCTAGCTGGAGTTACCCAGCCCTAAATTTTATCATTGGGTTGTCATTAGGGCTGGAGGAAGTTTTTCACTTCACACACCGAACCACCAGTCACACTTGCCAACTGCATGGCGCCAGTCAGTGGCCGTGTCTCACACGCACACAGCCCTGTTTGACCTCAGTTTCTTGTCCCGAGGTCGTGCATGCGTGGCCCAAAAGCGTACGCGAGGTTTTACAAGATTTATGCGAGACTAAAGAAAACACAAAAAGTGCCTGGATACATGTACTGTTTGGCCAAGATGGCTAAATATGTGAAAAGTTCAAATCGTGTGCTTTATTTTGATACCAAAAATAACTGCTTTTGCCAAATATAAAGTGTTGTCAGGGCCTGTCGAACAAAATCATATTTTTTATCAATAAACATGACAAAAGCGAGGGCCGATAGTTTTTAGGTGTACATTGGATTCTTTAAAACACGCTCAAAGATTCATAGAGGAAGGTATACGCTTCATTTTCATGTGAAACACGTGCAGGAGACTTCTAATGTTTGGTCCAAATCGCTGGTTAAAAAAAATGAAGACCGTTGCGAGATTGCATGATTTGCAATCACATGTACGCGTGTAAACGAAAGTAAGTACGCTGACGTACGTTGGCTTGAAAACATTGCGAATAGCACGTGCGAACGTGCAATGAATGACTTATGAATATTGTGGCGTTTTTCCTCCCACAAAATATTTTATTGAGTTGCGTGCGGGAGCGGCTCCGCACGCGGTGGGGATTCTATATGGGCGGCGGGTTCTCAACAACCCGGGGGGTGCGTCCGTTTGGGGAAAATATATCCCCACTTGCAGGCAAACCCTATTGGACAAGCAAGTAATTGACAATCGGAAACAAGATATAACTTGTACTACTCAATGCATCATTTAATTCGCACCAAATGAATCGGAGGTACATGTACCTCCAAGCACAGTTACCTCCAGTCACCTCCAGTTACCTCCGGAGGTGATCAGACCTCCAAATGGTTTCCAAATAAATTATTCACAAGATTTCTGGCTTATATTCTCTCCTAAATTTCACCTAAAATATGCGGACTTTGGATAACTGTGCGCTGAATTACCCCAAGCTAGACTTGCCCTAAATTAAATAGCTGGGAAAAGTGTCACGATATAAATAACACTATTTTCTACTCACAATATTAGTTGTGGAGATCAGCGCACGTCCGCTCAAAGTGACAGCAAAATGGCAAGTGAAGTGCGCCGCGCCTACGGCGTACGCGTAACCAAGCTCCTTAGCAACTTTAAAATACGCGCTATAAATTTGGCTTCAGTAAGCGCCCAACTATGCGGTTTGTGCATGCAGTGCAATGCCAATGCGCCCAATTCTGCGCCGCACACTAAAAGAGCCCAACGCGCAACAGCACTTTCGCTGGTACCCTGTACCGCCAAGCACT